ATGGAGGGCAAATGGTGGGGGGGTCAGATGGCAAGGATGTAGACATGGAGAGGCAGGTAGGAGAGGCAAGGGCCAAGTGTCTGGCCCCTTGACACTGCCGGGGGTAAGGAGATGAGTTTAAGACAATCCTCCAATAATTAGATTCTGTGCATGGAAAATTATAAAAAAAATATAATTTTCCATGTATAGAATCTAAATCCTGGGCAGTCATCTTAAATTTGAGATCATCTTGGAGTTGAGTAAGTACAGTACCTTGAAAATCTCCTGTATGCAAACTTATTCAGTGTTTCTCAAGACGCACATAATGAAGGCTGAACAGTATTTTTTGGTGTGTATTAATCCCCTTAGTACCCAGACAGAAGGAAAAAGTTAAACTGAGCACAAGAATTTTTATCCATCCCATCTTTCAAAACATTCAGCTTTCTATAGCATGCATTACCATAGAATCTAAGGTCCCTTTCTCATAGATGGATCCATTTGGGTGGACTCCTCTACCCGCACAGAGACTGCTGGATTCACTATGGCCAAGTACTAGCCCAAATGTCCACCACATAAGAATCAGGGCTTAAGTTATTTGACTACAATTCTTGAGAACATCTTAGGCAATCCCATGCCTAAACACTTTTTATTAAAACAGGCGAAAGTGGAGATAAAGGGGATTTCCAAAATAACCTTTTCTGAGACTCTTAGAGATCTAGTATGAATGATAATAATGCCTGTCTGTGTATTACTGCATGAAAGCCTGAGGGGCTTTCTTAAATATATCTGTATCTCAAGGAGCACTGAACTAAATAAAGGTTTTTTTTCAGTCAGAGACTAGATCTCTTGTCTGGAACAAGGAAAAACTGTTTATGAGCTTTGGGTTTACCTAGAAAGAAAAGATCTACAGCAAAGATGACCTTCAGAAAAGAAGCTGAAGGAGATACAAGTTTCATATCATAAACACACTCTAATATAGAGTACAGTACCTCCTGTGTGTTGTATTTCCTCAGTTTTGGGAAAGAAGACTCGGATTACACCTGTGTTGATATAAATCAAAGGTAAGTTGCGAGATGTTAAAGTGTGACTTCTCATAGGCTGGCCAGGTGATTTTCTTTTCTCCTTTTGACTTCTTGGTAGCCTTGCTTGAAATATATTTGCAATTGCATTGAGCAAAGGGAAACAGAGGACAACATCAAATGCCTGAGCAGAAAGAAGGATCTCATGAAGAAAATGAGGAGAACCATCAGAGAGACCTTCAGATAACTTATGAAAAGTTCTTCGTTCATTTCTTGATATCAACTTGTGCCGGACATTTTTTGTCACAGCCTTTGTATAAGTGAGAGAGAGGAATCCATGTTGTTGGTGTGAGCCATCTAAAAGTTTTGAAGTTGTCTGTTCCAAGAAAAAGAAAACAAAAATGAAACTGCTTCAAAGAGATTTTAAACATCTTGTAAAGAGACCAGTTGTGATGGAATTAAAAACTGTTAAACTATCTCTTTCCAAACATCAAAGCATTCTTTAGAAGGAACATCTACCTCACAGAACGGACTATACGTTTGCATAGCACTATTCCCAGAGCTGCTGTGTGCAAGAGCAGCAAGCCCAATGTAACCTAACTTTCCTTTTGACTGTTCATCAATGCACTGCATAATTCATTTAAAATAGAGTCTGGCAATGTAATTATTTCTCAGATCCTGCTATCCAAAATAATCCTTATATTAGGAAAGTCAATTTACCAAACAAACATTTTTTTCACTCACAGAGTACAGAAAAACATACATTTGATGAGGTTTCAAAAGCGGAGGGGGAGCTGTTGCTCCAGACCACACAGCAGCTGTTCTGTTGTAAAAATTATGCATGGACAGGCAGGGAGCTATACAAATGTAGTAAAACAGCTCCAACTTTAACAGTTTTATCCAGGGTTACAGTTGGAGCAGTTTTGCTACATATGTATTGCTCCCAGCTTGTACACATGTAACTGTTACAACATAACAGCTGCTGTGTGGTCTGTAGCAATACCTCCCCATCCCCTTTTGAAACCATTCCAAATGTACATTTGCCTGTATCTTCAAACTTAGAATTGTCTTCTTTAACATGCTCTTTATTTTAGAGAGCTGTTATTATCACTTTTCATTATTCTTTTTGCAGGTCCAACTAGTGCTCTGGATCAGAGCTATTTGGAGTTGTGAAATACATTTGTATGTTAGGTCTGTCCTGCAACACATTTATAATGAAAACTATTCCCTGAAGGATTGACTTGTTTTTAACTCCACCATCTCGGAGTAGCTAAAGGAGGATTTCCATATACTAGAAACTAAAACAATTAATGTAAATACTTAAAAATACTTTCCAAATTTATTCCATTATACTTCAGAACATCCTCCCCCCCAAAAAAAACCAAACACAACAAAAAACAAATCTCTGAGAGAAGTTTAAAGTTGCAAATGGCATTTTGGGGAACCAATACATATGCCTGATGCCCTTTTTGATGCATTCCAATTAGAACTAATTAATCTAATTAACTGAGTCTGCTGGAGAGTGCTAGTTAGCATGCTCCAGAAGCCTCAGCATCACATGTATTCAGCATCCCCACACTTCAAAATGGTGGTGGGGGCACTTTAACTCAAGTTTGTTGAATGAGCTTTAGTTAAAGCACCCTCACTGCCATTTTGAAGCATGGGACACTGAATACACAAGATGTTGTGGGTACTTTAATTATAGTGGCTCCCAAGAGTGGCTCTAATTAAAGTGATGCCCCCCCCACTCCCCTCACCCTGAAGCACATTTAAAGACACCCTTGGTGCCTAGCTCCTATTGAGAGTTAAGATGTATAAAGCTTCTAACTGCCATATTTATACCTCTGGGCTAGGGACAGACATTACACATAAACCAGTTTAAGTGATCAGAAACTGGTTTAAACCTGTAACAGAACAGATGTTCAGTGCACATAAACCAGTTTTTAAAAGGTTGAAACTGGTTTCAGATAAACCTGGTTGAATGTAGTATTAAACTTAACTGATTTGGGTCAAACCATTTTTTGCAATGTCTGTCCAAGATCCCTTGCTGGTTTAAGTTAAACCAGTCTTCACCATGATCTCTTGGCTGGGCAGGGCTCTCTGCTCCACATCAGGGCTGGCCCCTCCCCTCTGCTCCCTGGCTGCTGCTCTGCAGAGACTGCAGGCATCTGCCTGGCTTCTGCTCCCCAACTTCCATCAAAGCAGGAATTCCACTGTCCCCTCTGCCTTACACAGACACTCAACATTAGCTAGCAGACCACATGCTGTCTACGGTCCCTGCTGTGGCAGATGGGACAAAGGCAGAAACAACAGGTAGCTGGTCATGTTCCTCTGTTGTTTTCTTAATGGGGTGATAAACACTGTGTTATCAATTCCCTGCTTGGTCAGGAGGGGTGGGGGGAACCTCTCCCTAGTTAGAGCATCCTGCCAGGGCTCAGCACTATAGAAGGGAAGGGAGGGCTGCTCTAACACCCCCTGGCTTCTAGCCTGAGCCACTGCAGGAATGTGCCTGCATTTTTTCAGTCCAGAGGGGATGTCTGTATGGTTACAACTGGTTTAGCCTAGCCAGGTTAGACTGACCTGCAAAGATTGAATCAATTAAGGCTCAGGCTCTTTGAATGTCTGTCCCTATCCCTAAAAATCTCTTTTGGTATGTAATTAAAACATTAGATTCTGATTGAAAATCAACTTTGGATGAGTTACAGCAAAAATTGATAATTTTAAAATAAACTAGTAGAATAAATGTATTGTTCTTAATTAATTTAGGAAAACAATTGAAAGAAAACACACATTTATTTTGATACAAATCTACACCACTGTATTCATATTGTCTTTAATTACTCAAGCACAAGTATGGTAACTGCAGTTTGCAAACATATGCTTCTTTCAAAGTTTTTAGTTTTATTTCCAAATGTTACTTTAACATATTTTGTTTTTTTGATAAATGCAGGTACTAGGCCTTCTTACATAAATGTGATGAATATTTTACGTGCTGAAAAGTTGAAAGAACATATGATAAAATGATTTAAAACAAATTAGTAAGTTAGATATCATTCTTATTAGAAAAATTAAAACAACTAAAACAAATAAGAGAATGTACTACATTGGCATATTTATGATATAAAATAAATCAGAATGGAACAGAACTTCCACTAACCTGAAAACATTATATGCCATTGCTCACTGCTGCAACATAAAATGCTCAATATTTTAATGTACTTAGGTTTCTCAACTCTCATGATTTTGAATGGAACTGGTAGCAAATTTGTACCTGAATGAATATATTTTTAAAAAATATTTCTTTCTGTGAATGCTTACGTGGCAATTTAGAAATCAGGCCACTTTTATTTAAAAGTAAACAGGGAATAAGTGGCCTAATGATAGCCCTTCTTTTTCCTTCCACAACTTAAAACATTTTGGACCTTTTCATGCTCTCTGGAATTATATCCAGACCTGTATTCTCACCTATTTATAATTTAGTCTGATCCAATAAAAAGGGGGTCATTAAAGGGAAGCAACATTTATACTCCTTGCTGGTTGAAAATATTGTAATGTTTAAATGATGCTAAAAATGAGATGTTCATTGTAATCACTGTATATGAATAATTTAATTACAAATAATATGTAATATTGAAATGGGATTTAGGCCTTAAGTAAATGCGCTGACTTATTCACTTGAGGCACCGTTCACAAAGCACAATGTTAAATATTTGTTTTGCTCACATATTTGTGTCCATATCCTGCAATCAGTTCCACACATGTTTTTCTTTAAAGTGAGAAAGCTCTGATTTCAAAAGGACTTCTCACCTGCTTAACTGTTTTGTGAGATCAGGACATAGGCACTCTAAAGGAAGCATATTAGCTTTGCTACTGTGCCAAGTGACATTAGCATACATTTCAGAGGAAGCCAAAGGACTTTCCTTCCCAAGCTCAGGCAGAAATTTGACAATTCTTACTAAAGGGAAAGAGGGAAGTAAAACAGATGATGTAACAGAAATATTCAGCGCAGAGAAAATATAAATGACAAAAAAAGGGGGAAGCAAGGAGTTTGTTGGAATATCTTTTATCGGATGATGGATATTTTGTGCCTGAAAACCTCAGATCTCTCCCAACTATTCAACTGGCCCAACAGAACAGAGGTTCCCAACTTCCAGGCCGCGGCCTGGTACCAGACCACAAAGGGTTGGCTGCCGGTTTGCAGGAGGGTTGGCTACCAGACTGGAAGTTCAGAAGTGACCCCTCAGCCAACCCTCTTTTTATACTGCCAGTCCACACTTCTGGTCTGCAGTTTGCTAGTCTGTGGTCGCTTCCAGTCCATGGTCTAAAAAGGTTGGGAACCACTGCAATAGCTGATAGAATTAAAAAAGATCTTGCTCACGTAAGTGCTGGACCATCATGGCTACAACTCCAACCGAAAAGAGGAATGAAGTTTATTTCAATTATGACAATTTTTCTGCCCTACTGTTCGTTAGTGGAAGTTCTGTAGTATATGTTTTTTAAATGATTTCTTACAGAAGGAAAGAAGCCAGAGAAATTACTGAAAGGGTCCTGCTTGCTGACGGGTCGAACCAGCAAGGTACGTCTGTTCAGCTTGTCAGTACAGGAAAGGAATACACCTCCATATTGCCCCAGAGACCAACAGTCTTCCCCGAGGCTTGAGGTGATGAACAGGGCGTTGGGGTGGGGGGCAGGGAAGCAGGAAGAGAAAAAAGCCAAAAACAAAACACAAGGCAAAAAAAATTAATAAATTAGAATCATAAATTGTGCTGAAACCTGATTAGCTCTGTGAAACTATGAGATGTAGCCTATGGTGTACCTTCATCTGTCATTCCCAAATTCAAGGAATTCAAAAGAAAATCAAGTGAGAAAATTAAATTTGAAAATTTTAAGGGAAAGAACAATCTAGCAAGATATAGGGAGATACACGGAATTAAAGTCTAACAGAATTCTGCAGACACAAAATAGACGTATCAGGTGATTTCAGCAAAAAGCTTGATTAGAATGAAGAATGATGATTACAAGAACCAAGAAACTCAAGGCAGAAGTGTACTGAAATACTTTTCAAATTTCTAGTACCTGTTCACAAAAATATAGTTGGTTATAAAGGGGTAAAAATGTTGCTTTGAACTATAATTCTTGTAATCATCTTTCCTAATGTGCCCAAGAACAAAGAAAATTACATGGTTTAATTTTTAAGGCAGAGTTATTTTGTTAAGCATCTTATTTTACTAAAGAAATCTCACCACAAGCTTTTCTTTGCAATGTAGAAATACTCCTTCAAAATGTCCTGACTGCCAGCCTTCCCCTGGCCTGGAAGATAGAATGTTCAACTTATCTGTTCTCTGCTTTTGGTCTGAATCCAGAGAATTTGCCATGTAAAACCATACTTCGTAATGATTGTGAATTGTAAACTGGATTTGACAGTGCAAACAATAACACAGTTATTCTGAGTGAAATAGTTTAATATTTTGATAAAATTTAGCAGCAAAGAATACTGCTAGGATGGAAGAATTTGCCATGGAAAATGTGGAACTTTAGACTATTCATAGCAAATGACCTCCCCTCAAGACTTGCACACAATCCCTAGAAAAATCTCTTTTTTAATAGCTGAAAGGTGACTGGTGTACTCAAACATATCTCAAAACATCATGACTGGACCAAAACAGAAGTTTCTAGATATAAAACATAAGGTCTGATTATAATTGTTACAATATGTGCAAACCAAATATTTCTAATTGAGATGAAAGAAAGAAAACTCAGACTCAAGGCTCTACTTTTCATAAATATCCTAAGACAGGGATGGACAAACTGCAGCCCAAGAGTCACATGCATTTCCCAGGCAGTTTAAATACAACTCCTGAAGAAAGTCATTTAACAGCAAATGATGATGTGAACTGGGGCATCATGTACAGATCACTGACTCTGGGAAACATGCATGTCAAAAATACTGTGCCCTGTGGCTCTCAGCCATGTCAAGATTTTGATTTGCAACTTAAGAGTAAAGTAGTTTGGCCACCCCTGCCTATGTTGTTTGTTTATTACACTGTCTCAATGTTCTCAGTATCTGAGCTAAAGGCAGATTAGGAGGTTTCACTAAATTTCCTTTCTACTCTCCAGAATGGAAATGTTCAAAAAACCCCATCCAAACCTTGAAAATGCAGCACAATGAGCAGACAGACTATTTGGCACTGTCCCTCAGCAGTGCTAATTAGCCTGCCTGAAGCTCCAGACAGATGTAACTACATTGCTTCCAGTTTGATGGCAGCCCTTCAGTATCACTACAGTATTTTTGAAGTTCCTGCTGCCCAGGACAGTAAGTTTACTGTGTGGGCATGGCTTTGTCCCACACTGCTATGCCACAGCCAGTCACAGATACACTTGTTAGAAATTTTCTCCTGATGCCTTAAAATAAATTTTACAAAATATGAGTTATAAAAAATTAGACATTTATCATTTCTTAAAGTTATCATGATCCAGTATTTGAAGCATTTATTTTAAATATTTGGACTATGGTTAAAGATTTAGTCTGACAAATACTAATTTTCAATGGTGCCCCACACAGAAAATGTTTTTTCTTTCCCCTTTCTTGAGGCTGAAGCACGCCCCTTTGAAAACAAGTCTAATTCTGAGAAACTGTGTAACCTATGGTCACTGTTTTAAAAGTCTTGCTCAGCCTTATTCTACTGTATTCAACAATGAATTTTCTCTATGAAGAATTAAATAGTATTTTTAGTTGGGAAAAAAGTTTCCTTGCATTGGAATGGAATTAATATAATAATTTTATTAAATACCTGTTCCTGTAGTGGTCAATGTTGAAGCTTTCAATTTTACATTTGACTTTGGTATACACATCCTGCATATCTACTGAGGCGCTGAGATCTTCTAGTTCACTGACAACACAAACTTCTGGAATAAGCAGTAAAAAAAAAAAATCAGGTGAATATTCATGAACTGCAACTCCTATGAATCTGTATTATAAATAAAATGGTGTTTTTAAGCTACAAAATGTTGCTGGACCACTACAATCTGAATCTTGAATTCCTGTCTTGCATGGTTCAGGACTTTTTCCACAGTAGATTTTTGTTCAGTCACACTATAGATAAAAACCACTGAGAGAAGTCAGAATGCTAACTTCTGCTGAAATCCTGAGAGAGATCTGAGGGGAGATTTATTTGGGAGGCAGTGTGGTTTAGTGCATAAAGAACTGGTGTGAGGGTCAGAAGACCTGGATTTAGTTCAAGGCCCTTTGCCACTGGCCAGCACAGTGGTTTTAGATAAGGCAACAGACTTCTATGCCTTGAATCTTGTGACCTTTCATTGTGGGTAATGATGTTTATACCTCCTCTGTAAACCACTTTGAGATCTAATGATGAAAAGCAGTGTATAAAATATAGATGATATAACAAAAACATCAAACTCAGAAGGCCATTTAATCAAATGCTATAATAATGAGTTAAATAATATTTTGAGAGTGCAGTATATCATATTTTCCCTCACATAACCTGAAACCTTTTCCAAAAATCAGTGCTTGAAAATTGGGATACATGCTTTAAGCATATTCTCCATATTCACAGAGCAACTTTTTCACAAATGGACTTTGAAACCCAGGGGAACCATGACATCCTTTATCTCCCCTACGCAAGATGACGTTTCTTTTCTACCTGGGAGAACTTTTACAATCTTTGAACTCTCCTCTGCCTGATAAAGGGTGTTTGCAAAGAAATAATTTTTTTTGGCTATTATTTAATTGGTCTAATAAATGATATTGCCTCTAGCACAAGAATTTTGTCTGCCTCTGCTTTTTAGACCAATACAGCTACAAGCTATATCCCTGCTTTAAGCAAGGAAATATGGTAACAGCGGCTTCTGCTGCCAAAACCTCTGCTGGGGAAAGAGAAGTAATGCACCATGTGCTGCAAAGGGGGTTCCCTAAGCTATGGACATTTTCTCTTTTCCCCAGCATAGGCTTATGCTGCACAAGCTGGCAGGCACTGCTGACTGCCGACCCAGCTTAGCTTGAGAAGAGAAGGGAAGAGAAAATGGATTGGGTATTTTTGGCTCAGCTAGCAGTACCTATTGCATCCTGCAGCCAGGGGGTTGACAGGGCAGCTACAATGTTTTGTTCACCCTACCCAAATGCAGATACCTGTGTTTTCTCTGGGAAAATGAAATACTTACCAGTATTTTCAAGGAAATAACTTTTTTTCTTCATTTCTACCTTTCAAAGACAAGGGATGTAGCTTATTCAGGGGCACAGTGTATGTAAGAAAATATGGTAAAATACTGAACAGATTAGATACATCCTACATAGACTAGATTTTAAGCAGCTGTCAAAGAGCTTTTAAAATGTCAACAGCCAGTTCTACCAACCAAAACCTGGATAATGTCTCCTGCCTCACCATCCACAATTGTTCAAACAGATACAGTAAGCTCCCAAATAGTATAAAGAGCTCTCTTACTGTAACGTGTCTTCTTTAGTTGTAATACTGCTGCTCTACTTAAACCTGTTAATAGTTGTCATGACAGGTGTCTGATACAACAGTTTTGTGGGAAAAAATGGTACATGATCACATAATTAAAGACTATCAAAAGTATCAAGCCAGTGATTCTCAACCACAGTGCCGGGCAGCCTCAGGTGCCACCAGATTTTCTGAAGAGTGTCGGAGGTGTGAGGGGATAAGTGAGGTGTTAGGAGATAAGCAGATAAAGGCAGGCTTAGGCTTATCCCTGCCTGGATGATTCCCCATACCCACCACTGCTGGGCCCCTCTTCAAGGAGGTAAGCATTAGGGCTGTGTGAAATTTTGCTGCAGCCTCCTGTCATCCGGCAGAGATCTGGGGGCCCGCACCGCCAGGAGAAGTCCTGCACAGCCGCGCAGCCCTCCTGGGGGTGCGGACCCCTGGATCTGCATGCCAGATAACAGGAGGCTGCCGCTGCTGGCAAGTTTTGCTTTTCAGACTTCGAGGTGCAGTTTCCGAGAAACCTCTGCACCCATCTCCTTCAGGCTTCATGCCCTCAGGAGGGGCTACCATCCCTAAAATTTGTATCCAAATCAGGCAAGAGATGACAACATTTTAGGCATTTTCATGACTCCCCATTATAGCCTATGGGCGAAACACTGAAATGAGTTGAAACAGAGAAACAGTTTTGACAAAACAAAATGGGACAGTGCTTTGAAACAAAACGAAATGATGAAACATAATACTGTCCCTTTGAAAAGTCAAAACAGACATCCTATCTCTATCCCAAACAATATCCCTATTATGATGAAGAACAGAGAATACAATCCAGTAGAAAAGTTTTAAATTTTGTTAATAAATAATACAACATCAACTCATTCTCCTGTTGTCTACATAGACTTTTGGAACATGAACATGTACAGAGAACAGACTGATAATTGAGTCTGACTCTTAAAATCAAAACATAAAAGCTGTATTAATAATTGCATAGCAGTGTTGGGAAACTGAAACTGGTGGATTACTGTACTCTCTTCTTGGGAAAGGATGCATCATTAAGCAAAGGGAAATTCCGGAATTCAGTATGTTATGTAGAACGTATAGCTATTAACTACGTTTAGAAAAATGTGCGTGCTTTTAAACTGCTGCACTGAAACAACAGGACTTTTTCTCCTCAGCAGAACCTTTTTCCTTAGAAAAAATAAGACTTAAAAATAATATCTATCTATCTAGACTTCTTTTTTATCTTCAAAGTGCTTTCCAAGCTCAAAGTCATTTATCATCCTTTTCATGAAGTCTACTGAATTTTAAGAATCATTTCCTTGCATTAAGTTTTTGTTGTCAAGGTAAGTACAAGTAGAATTCATTAAAAAGAATCTGAATAGCATATCCTTAAACAATTATTATTCAAACTCACAGATTAGTAAGTGATGTATAAAGTGTGTAACATAACTCATTTATAAATAATATAATTGATGAAAATAATCAAACTAGAGTTTCTCAAAGAAAGAAAAGATGAGTAATGGATTATCTACTACTTACCATTAAATCATATATCTACTTTTCATATTAAACATAAGCATTACATTTAAAAGGATATTACAGTGATTGACTTACATTCATGACATTTACACAATTATGAAAAGTTTAGAAGTGTCAACAAAAATCCAAAGCTATTTAAATTGCTTAAAAGGGACTTGCATGTCATCACAAAAAAACCTTATTGAAAGCTCCATGCTGCTGCTGCACAACTATAGCCCTATATCATTTAAAATTACTAATTAAATGTTATTTCAAACTTGCTATAGTCCCTATTCCTTATGAAGGAAAACTCTTAAGGATCATGGTAACTTGTTATCTCAGGTATGACAGCCTGTTGGAACATACTAGAAAACTGACCAAGTCCATGATTTTTTAAAAATTACTGTGTATATGATTCATGACCACCTGCTTAAAGAGTAAGTAATTTAATCTTAAAAGAATTTTTAAAAAGTAATATAACTACTTCTGTGCATAATACCTGTGCCTGTGTTTCCAGGATCTGGTGCAAACAATTTTATAGTAAGTTTTGGCAACATCCACTGCATCCATAGGCTTACACGTCCACTTGATATTCCAATGTTACTTGTTGTTTGCTCCAAGGTAACTGAGTCTGAGAATGGAGAATCATCTCCACCTGGTACAGAATCACCCTAAAACAGCATGAATATTGACTGTGAATACTCAATGAAAAATCATATTGTATAACAGTTTAAGAAATAACACACATGATCCAGTCATCAAAAAACTTAGATCATACTTATACAGGCAGTCCTCAGACTTACGACAACTGGGTCCTGAAAACCGCGTCTTAAGTTGAAATGTTGTAATTCGGAACCAATTTTCTCATAAGAAACAATGTTATAAATGGGGGATTGGTTCCTGAACCAAGGCCCGACACCCTATTTTCACCAAAAATACCCCAGAACTTTGTACTCAATCAATTATAGATGAGCAATGTAGCTACATTAATGTATTTATATTGTAGATAGAAATCATATTGATTTGGAAATATTTCTTTGAGGTGACTTTGTTGGACTTTTTGAAGGGCCCTTGGTTGGACTTTTTGAAGGGTTCTTGGCTGGAGTCTTCTCAGGAGTCTTGGCTGCAGGTTCTCCTGGAGTCTTGTCTGCTTTCTTAAAGAAAGTGTCCAAGGAAGTTTGGACAGATGTTCTCCAGGGAGATGGGTGACACAGTGAACTTGTTCGCTGGTGTGGCGTTACATAGGATCAAGCATTGTAAAGTTAAAACTGATGTCAGAAAGTTGAAACAGGGTGTCAATTTATAAATGCTGTAAGTGCAAAACATCGTAACTTGAAATGTTGTAAGTTGAGGACTGCCTGTATTGTTTATAACAAGCATCTCAAAACGTAGCCTCCAGATTTAGTCTTCATGGGTTCTTGTACACACCACAGATTTTAATCCTCCTTAAATTAAATAGGTTTATAAAATTTAAACATTTATTTTGGCAGGTTGCATCTGTGTTTACATGCACTATATTTTCAAATGAATTAAGCTTTGGAGTATCTGTGTTTACAAACACTAGGTTTTCAAACAAATTAAGACAGGTCCCTCGTTGGTGCCACAGGAGAATAGGATGGTCCGGCGCTGCCTCCCCCCACCCCACAACCCTGGCTCAGGGTCCGCTACCCACTCTGTGCCCATGCCCTGCCATGCAGCTGTGGAAGCAGGGAGCTGGAAAAATAGAAAAAAAGAAAAAGAGAAAGCCACACAACAACAACAACAAACATGGAAGCAATTTGAAAGCAAAAGCCATTCAAAGGGGTGAACTACAAAAAAGTCACAATGCCATCTGCTGGACAAAGAGGATCATTACATGTCTTTGAGTGCCTTTGTGTTTACATGCAATGAATCCATGTATGCGACACTTAAATTTCTGGTAAGCCAAACTAAACTATGTCCAAGGAGTTTTAGTTTAATACACAAGAAAGACTTTTAAAGCGTCGGAAAATCCTGCTCGTGCAAACAGACATGCAGTCAAAGTGCATGAAAGGGCAAAAATAGTGGCGTGTACATGAGCCCCATATTTTGATCAATACCTCTCCAAAAGGAAAAGTGAATTTTTTTTACAGGGTTTTTTTTTTTTTGTAACTCCCCTCTGTTCTTATCACACTTCTCTAGATTCTTCTAACTCAGTCACATTGTACCAACTCTTAAATTCCACAAACATATATTCTAACAACATCTTGGAAACAGCCCATTTTTGGACTTTTATAATTAAGCAAATGAAAAATCTCTACTCCTTTTTCAGAGGAATGTTAGAGTTTGCCAAGATCATACCTGGAAACGATCACATTCCATCACTTACTTTTATTTTGCAGTATTGCCAGATCACCTTTTACCAGATTACCAAGACCCTGTTGACTAAAGGGCTAGGGACAGACATTCAAAAAGCCTGAGCCTAAATTGGTTCACTCTTTAAATGTTAGTCTAATCTGGCTAGGCTGAATCAATTTGTAACTGCACAGAGATCCCAGAAATGCAGGCACATACCTGCAAAGGATCAGGCTAGAAGCCAGGGGGCGCTAGAGCAGTCCTCCCTTTCCTTCCAGAGCTGAGGGGTGCATAGCCAGGCCCTGGCAGGACCCTCTGATTCGGGAGGGTTCCCCCCACCCCTTTCTGATCAGCCCAGCACAGAATTGATAACATAGTGTTTATCACCCCAACTCAGTTTTTATCACCCCATTAAGAAAAGAAAAGAGGGACATTACCTGTTGATTCTGTCTTTGTCCCATCTGCCACAGCACAGACTGTAGCCAGCATATGGTCTGCTACCTAATGCTGAGAGGTGTCTGTGTAAGACAGAGGGGACCTTACAGGGAGTGGGGAAGGGAGGGGAAGGAGAGCAGGGGGAAGCCAGGCAGATGCCTGCAGTCTTTCCTGAGCTCCAGCCAGTGAGCAGAGGGTAGAGGCCAGTTCTGCTGTGGAGCAGACAGCGTGCCAGGATGCTGGAGGAGTCTGATTTAATTTAAACCAGCAAGGGGTCTGGGACAGAAATTGCATAAACCACTTTTGACCCAAACCAATTAAGTCTGATACTACATTCAACCATGTTTATCTCAAACTGGTTTCAGTCATTGTCCAACTGGTTTATGTACACTGAACATCTGTTCTGTTACAGGTTTAAACCAGTTTCTGATCACTTAAACTGGATTATGTGTAGTGTCTGTCCCTAGCCCAGGTGTCCAGTATGCAATTCAGGGGGTAGATGTGTGTGTGTGAGAAAAACAGTCTATAGATGGGCAGCAAAAGAAGAAAGATGGCCTTTCTGATGGGAACAAAGAGATGTCAGAGTATGGTCTGTACTGTCCAGAGAGCTGAAGGGAGTAAATTCCAAAATGTACATTCCACTTCTTTGGCATATATAGTTGGCATTCTCTATGGTACTGCTTCCTGGTGTGGAAATTAAGCCAAGGCAAAAGTGTCCACTGATATGTGACAGAATATAGTGCTATGGCAGGTGAACTGGGAAGTTTTCAAACAGCAAACAGTGGCACTAGGGAAAACCTGAAGGAATCACTGCCCTGTCAGTGCTACCATGGCTTCTCAGTACACCAGGCAACAATGCTGTAAAGAACAGGGAGCAGAAGCTGTCATGAAGCTCATTCAGAGTAGAGATCCAAGAGTGAACAACTGTGGTCCACAAGATCAACCTCCAAGATTTAAAACCCTTGAAGAGAGGACTTTTACCTTGGTACTTCCCCATAAACATTTACAGCAAGTCATGTTAACACAAAAACAGTGACTGTGGGGAACCTTGCTTTGAGGATCACTGAGACTGGTATCTTCTGAGACTGAGTTCAAGGTCCTTATGTTTACAAGTTAAGATTGTTTGTGCTAAGAGACTACTTGAAAGAAATGCCATCACAAGGCTGGGTATTTTTCCTCATGCTACATTATAAAAATCCAAAGAATAGCAGTAGTAGGGGCAACTTTTGAAGGAATAGCTGCCCTGCCAATGCTAGCATGGTTTTCCAGGCAGCAATGCTACAAAGATCTGAGAGCAGAAAAGGCGACAAAGCTAGGCCAGAATGACTTTTGGTCATCTTTATTTCACTGGACTTTTGGTGCCTATGCTCTGCCTTTTTTTTTTTTCATTTGCCCGCTAAATTATGAGTTTAATGGGTACAAAATGTATAAGGGCCCAGCTCATAGCATGTCTCATTTTAAGTTTCCCTGTTCCTGCAGGAAAACCATAAAATGTACTGCTTCCCTTAGCATACTTGAAAAACGAATCTATTTATAATCAAAGAATTAACATTTTGTTTTATTTTTTTAAGCTTACTGCAACCCAGAAAGGAGTACTCCAAGTGTGTGTATACACACGTGCTAACTTTCTGGCAGTTAAGCCAAATGAACTTTTTAAAGTCAACTTAACTGTCAGAGCGTAGACATGTATGTGGAGCAGAGACGATTTAAATGTGGCGCAAGATAATACAGTAAAAGCTGAGTTATCTGGCACCTTACAAGCCGGCATGTTCTGTTAATTGGCATGCTGGCTTGTAAGAGAAAAATGAAACCAGAAGTGTCCACCGTGGCACTTCTGATTTTGCCGAGCCCACACGGCCCAGGCGAAAGCAGCCTGCGCTGCCAAGCTCCCACAGCCTGGGACATAGCAGCCTGCGCAGGTCCCCCTTCCCTGTCCCTCAGGGCCCATGGTAGGGGTAGTGACGCGGCAGGACAAGTGATGGCCTGAACAGGCAAAGATGCCTGTTTGGGCTGCTCACTTAACCAGCATATTTTGTTATCCGGCACCCTCCATTCCCTGTGGGTGCCGGATAACAAAGATTTTACTGTATACCTCCAAGGGGTATTATCTTGAGTTGCATTAGTTAAGTTGCCTTAGCTCACAAGATGACTGCTACCACATCAAGGACCTGTACATGTATACACTCCAACATGGCTTGTCGACTTAGTTAAATTGCCTTATTTTAAGTTGCCTTAGTATGTGTGCACACACCCAGTGATAGTAAACAAGAACTTCAACCTGAGTTAAATTTTGTTAAATTACCTAAGTGTCCATCTTCCAATGGATAATGTTTTTCCAATAAACAATTTTACTGTAGAACTTGCCAATGGGCAAGATTTCAAAGACTAACAAAGTGAGTCTGAAAATCATGAGAAAAATGTGTGGGAATAAAAGCAATATGGCGTACCTATAGCAGGGAGATTATAATAGATGGCATACATCTGGATTTTCCCCTTGAGAAACTCTTAAAATCACTTAACCATGAATGTGCCTTCAGAAAGTTGACAGCTATAGGCCTGAGACCTAAAGGAGCTATAAAGACATATGGGTTACTGTTAACCTGGAAACTGGGAAAAGAGGGGCATAACTGTGTGTGGGAGAAAGCAATATGGGATTGAGATGGCTGGACAGAGCCAAGCACCTGACAAATTTAAGGCCATAATCAAGATTGCATTTTTAATGTAGATTAAGATTGTTTGGGGTGACAAGACTTCTGGAAAGAATTACTGTTAACAAGTGAGGACTTTTCTATGCATTTTATATTTATAGACAGGCAAAGGATACTGGAAAAGTGAGATAAGCATTTTGGTGTCTAGTCTTTTAGTTACCTTTCTTACTTTCCTCTTTAAAGTTACAGGTGTATTAGCTGTGAAGCCTATGAGA